CATGTATGACTGTCCTGGTCTGGGAGCCATCCATGTCAGGCATCATCTGCTTTGATCCCGAATGAAGATCCTAGTGGTGGTCTTGGGTTGTTTAGAGATTTTCAGTTTAACATCTCCAATAGGCTGAGGTGATCACTCAGGTGAGGATGTCCTTTTTAAATGAGAAATGTGAATCCATTAGCCTGTACCCTTAAGTTTAGCAGTACAAAGGTTAGTTAGTAATTCCTGGTATATCTCATTCCATCGGGGCTAAAGAGCATCTTTATGGAGAGGCCATTTCCAATAGACATGATCTCCTGGTTGGAGACCATGATGTTGTAGATCTCCATCTCTCAGAATTACGTTATGGAAAGATTGCTCTAAGAGTTGTGAGTTAGTCTTAAGGGCCCTTAAAAGTTCTTTACAGTATAAGAAGAGGTCTCCTTTCAGCAGTACAGGCTCATACATTCCTTGATCTAATCTCATAGATCTGCTGGTAAAAATTTCAAAAGGAGACAGTCTATGTTTGCTGAAGAGAGTAGGTCTTAGGTTGAGCAATGCCAAGGGGAAGAGCCTTAGGCCAAGACAAAAGACTCCACCAGTTTTTGCCAGTTGAGTTTTAATAACCCCGTTAGTTCATTCTAAGAGACTAGAAGATTGAGGATGATATATACAATGGAAACATTGCAGAATCAGCCAGATCTTACAAAGAAATTGATTCATGTGTCCTGTGGTACAAGTTCCCTGGCTGTTATGAAGCTCTGCAGGGATCCCGAAGTAGGAAAGCTTTTCTGAGAGTATTTTATTCATTGTCGAAGCTGTGTCTCTGTGACATGGGAATGCTTCTGCCCAAGGAGAAAACATACAAATCATTACTAACATATTTATATCTTTGAGAAGGCAGCAACTGAATAAAGTCCATTTGCCAGACCTAAAAGGGCCTAAAAAGAAGGGAAAAATGCCCCATTAGAGGTATGAGTGAGTTTTCCAGGGTTGTACTTTAGCCAGATTTGACATTTTTGGGTATGCCTTGGAAGCTATCTTTGGAGATAGTTTTCTAGTATTATTGTTTTCCCCCATGAAATCATTTTTTCATTGTTTCAGCGAGTTAAGTCGTATAAATATTGTAATATGTGATGTCACATATAATCAGAGAGGAGTGGTCAGTTGTTTGAAGCCACTCATGGTTTATTTTAGGTCAAATGTATAGCCTTGTTTTAACTATTTTTTTTTCTATTTTATTGAGCAGCTAAATGCTGTGCTTCCATGTTGGGTTTTAAACCCCTAATCACTTCATCCATTAATGTAAGTGCCTCCATTAAAGGCTGAGATTGTTTTAATGCTACTAACTTAGCAGCAGTGCCAGCCAAGTGATTACCTCTATTTTCCTTGGTGTTTGCTATCGAATGTCCAGGGATTTTTATGATTGCTAAAAATTTAGGTAATTGGATAACCTTTAAGAGTTTTAAAACATAAGGACTATTTGTTTTAATCTTTTTTTTTTTCTGGAAGAAGTCAAGAATCCTCTCTGATTCTAGAGCACACCAAAGTTATGGGCAACTGTAGGTTTACCTACAGTTAGCTATTTTACCTTTGGCCAAATTTCAAGCTCAAATTAATGCATAGAGCTCTGCTTACTGAGCAGAAGTTACTTGAGGCATTGGACTGGCCTCAGTGGTTTCATTTAAAGAGACAATTGCAAAGCTTACTTGATAATGGTCTGTTTCTTCTTTTAGGTAACCGTCATCAGAAAACCAAACTCACTGAGCATTTTCAAGAGGTGTTTTCTGTGAATTAACTTGGGGAGCTAGTATTTGGTCTGTTAATGGCTGGCAGTCACGAGGGTTTTTGTCAGAGCACAGAGGAGGAGAGCAGCAGGATTCAGAGTATTACACTGAGCAATAGTCATGTTAGATGAAGACAATAAAAGAACTTTATAAGAGGTTAGTTAGTCTGCTAGCAGAGAGATGCTGACTATAATGAGAGTTAGGTAACACTTTTACTAAATGAGGCACATAATGAGTCAGTGGCCTGAATGTCAATTGTAATTGAAAAATTTGTGGTGGAGGGGAGAAGGTGAAGGGGAGTAAGAGGTTCAAATTTCCAGCTACAAAATAAATAAGTCATGGGATGTAATGTACAGCATAAGAATATAGTCAATAATATTGTAGTAATGTTGTATGGTGTCCAGTGGTTACTAGAGTTATCATGGTGATCACTTCTTTAGGTATATAAACGTTGAATAACCATGGTGTACACCTGAAACTAATATAACATTGTATGTTAGCTATATTTTAATAAAAATATTTTTTGAAGAAATTTTTATAAGAGTCAGTGGAGTCCATTATTATTTCTTCTGTGTGTTGCAGTAAATCGATGGTGGTCACAGTAGCTCTTACATAGAGAGGTTGACCTTTGGCCAGCAGATCTAACTGTTGACTGAAGAAGTATCCAATGGATAAGTTGGCTTCCATGTCATTGGGTCAAGATACCTACGACATTTCCCTCCCTTTCATGGACAAAAAGGAAAAACGGGCAATTGGTGATTAGAATGTCTTAAAGGAGGCAGATCATCAAGACTGCCTTTTATTTCACTGAAGGCTTTCTGGGATTTCTCTGTCCATATGAGGGTCTCTATCTGGTCAGCCTTGAGAAGAGAGTATAAATGTTGAGGCAGAGCAAAAAGTTCTACAATATCATATCTGGCCGAACCTAGCAATCCTCCGACTTGCCTTTTAGTCCTGGTATTAGGAATTGTTAAAATACCCTAGATCCTCCTGGAATCCAATGGAGACCTTTATCAGTAACTAAATGTCCCAGATATTTAACTTGAATTTTACAGCACTGAAGTTTATCTTTAGATATTTTATTGTCATTTTTTTAGTTGTCGTGGGAGATGGAGGCTATGTTCCAGGGACTCTTCCTCAGAGAGTGAACAGAGGAAGAAGTCATCCACATATTGTAAAGAGGGGGAACAGGCAGGCAGCAAAGAAGCAGAGGTACAGATAATGAGACATCAGAAGAATGTTTAGACGTTCTCTCAAGCCTAGTAAGTCTCAGACAACTCAGCATTTTCTTTGGTTGATTTAGAATTTGTGTTTTGGAGGAAAGCAATTTTGAATCACTTATGTGTTTGGAGGCCCCAAAATACCAATTAAAAAAATATATATGCTTCTCTTTCAAGCTGCTTAGTTTTGTAGCCTTTTGCTAATTGATTCTGTAGATAGATTAACTTGGGGATTTCAAAAGAGCCCCAAGTTGGCCAGTTTAATTGGAAATCATCCCAGATAATTAGGGTTCAGTGAGGTAGAAAGTTACAAGATGAAAACTTAGTTTTTGTATATAAATGCAGGAGGAATTCTAGAAGGTGGCTGTTGAGCAGCCATCTCCTTAGAAAGTGAACTTCACATTTTTCAAAAGAGTTAATTACTCAACCAGAGAGACATTTTAAGTCCCGTAGACAAAAAGTCGGCAACAAAGGACACCCAAATAGAGCCTGAACCTCAACTAGGATGAGAGATTTGGATCCAAGAAGACTTAGTGCAATGATCTGGAGCCACCAGGAAGACAGTAGGGTGCAGTGGATTCTTATACATACCTTATTTAAATCTGCAGAGGTGCCCAAGGAGGAGGAGAGTCATTTTGGATCTCACTTCTCTTTCAAGTTGCTTAGTTTTGTAGCCTTTTGCTAATTGATTCTGTAGATAGATTAACTTGGGGATTTCAAAAGAGCCCCAAGTTGGCCAGTTTAACTGGAAAGCATCCCAGGTTATTATGGTCCAGTGAGGTAGAAAGTTGAACAAGAATTGTCAGGCAAATAGAAGTTTTAATTGGTGGTATTTTTTTAGGAATTGCACTTGAGGACACAGATTTGGGTATAAACCCAACTATCTTCAGAGCAGGAGAGAAAGAGGCAGAAAAAGACAGAAAAGTGGAGATGGGGGTGGGGGACGCTTTCAAAAGGATTGCCTATATTACTTTGAAAGAGCTATGACTGGCACTGGAAAGCTGACTTACACCGTGCTATACATGATTAATTGCTCATGTCTTTGCTAAGCGAAAATTTTTAATAGAGATTTCAGAGATGCAGAGCTACTTCCAGGAACTGTATCAGGATGAAGCCATTTGTTAGAGCCCAGTTTAAAAGTTTAGTTTCACATGGAGGAAGTGTATAAGCTCAGCTTCCTGGAAGCCTTCTGGCTCCATTTTAGATTGCTCTCTTAACAACACCAACTCTATTTTGCTGTTGTTGATTTTTTTTGTTTGTTTGTTTGTTTTGTTTTGTTTTGCCACAATGGATAGGGAGTTGGATGGATGAATATCGTGGATTTTTAAAAATGCACATATGAGCTTTTAGTTATGTCCCCAAACTCTTGAAGGTTGTAAGGTGAAGCCCACTTACCAGAAAGACAACAATCTCTCAAAACTCTTTACACAGAAAATTTGGATCATGGTTCAGGCATTTCTTTACTTTTCCTACTGAGTCTCTGTTAATCCATGCTAAGTCTACCTAGAATATGCATCCAAGAGTATCTTCTTGGCTCTCTGTTTTTCTCCTACCATCATGATAGCCTTGCTTTTTTCTTCTCTCTCCTCGATTCCATCCCTCTCTGAGTCCTGGAGAAAAAACATCTGACCTTTATTGTCATTCCTGGAGAAGGCTTCATTTAGGTCTTTTAGATAATTTTGAATAAGCAAGTATGAGTCAAAAGGAATAATAAATATTTAGCTCACTAATAGTGACCTTTTCTCATAGCAATACTTTGATGGGTCATGCTTATGTAATCCAATGAAAAAAATTACTCCCCTCTAGGAGTACACACTGACAGCAGTATACAGAGACAGGGAGAAAAGTGTGAGGGAATATAAAATGCCAATAGTATGAATTTAATATAAATTTAATTAATTTCAGTAATTTAACAATATAGTGAAAACACATCAATCCAAAGGAAAAAAAAGCAGTAATGAAGAATGTGATACGGTTGGGTAAAGAATTATAAAAATATTATTATTATTTATAGCCACAGTCTTCCTGGAGTTTTGGAAAAGGAGAAGAAGTACACTGACCTATACTTGGGACCTTATTGAATGGGAAGAAGAGGAGGTAAGATGTTAGGAAACCAGAAGGGAAAGAAACTAGGATGACAAATGGTGCAGAAAATTATTCACTGCCCTAATGTCCAAGTTGGAAGCAGCTAAACATCATTAGATTTTCCCTTGATGTGTTTTTACTAACAAGATTTTTTTTTAAGATAAGAGAGATCAAGGAGGAAGCAATGTAACTTTTTCAAAGGATCTCTATGATGTTTCCTTAGATTACATTAGTGGGAAATTGTGCTAATTAGAATATAGTTTAGGGTTTATTCGAAAAGGAATTTGCATCTTAACTTTTTAAAGTTTCTTGTTTGCCAAGACTTAATATAAAAGTAGGCCAAAATCTAGGAATTTTGTATCAACTCTTAAGATGATTTTTAAAAATATTTTACTTTGATATTTCAATAACTTTAGTTTCTCTTGTAGGAAACACTTCGTCCACAGTTTGAAGCAAAGTATTACACGATGGAGAGGGTGAATCCCATCAGTGGAAAACCTGAGCCACATCAGCCTTCCTCAGACAAAGTCAGTCGTCTTCTTGTTTCTATCTCAGGAATATTCTTCATGGTAAAGTATAACCAGTAATATCAGAATATTGTGGGATTCAAGGATTAGAAGGAAATTCTAGGATATCAGCTCATTTTGTGACACTGAGGATGCAAGAAATCGCATCCTGTTCAATATCTTGCAACGCATACTATTAAACAAAATAAAACTCACAGCAGGTCATGGAGTAATTACAAAGGGAGTTTGTGTGTGTCTTTGGGAGAAACAAAGATCATCAAACATAAAATGGAAATTGAATTGCCCCGATGAATTAGATCTCCTGTTTTAAAACCAGGCATTCCATTTGAAAGTGGAAATTTGAACAGAATTTTAATGTGATAACTTTACATAGTATAAGATTTATGTAACTTAGTTTCTTAATGGAAGAAGATAAATTTATGTATTCTTTCTTGGGAAAGTAAACTCCTTTAGCTCTTAGGGGCAGTGCGTTGGATCTCTGGTTTTGTTTGTTTCATTAATGATGAAAAACATGGATGTCTCTTTTGGTTTTCCATACTGTAGATTTCTTTGGTGATTACTGCAGTCTTTGCAGTTGTGGTATATCGCCTGGTTGTCATGGAACAGTTTGCATCTTTCAAGTGGAATTTCATCAAACAACATTGGCAGTTCGCAACATCTGCTGCTGCTGTCTGTATCAATTTTGTAATCATTATGGCACTGAATCTTGTAAGTGTTTACAGTCTTTCAACAGGTACAAAAGGGAAGCAGACTATGTTTCCTTTATACTTGGATTTTATTTGCAGGAAGCCAAAATAAGACCAAGCCACATGTCTAGCAAAAGCAATTCAGTTCAGCAGAAAATATTCTGTGTGGTTTAGATGATGAATTTCTTTAGGGTTATATTGTTTTCCTTTCCCTTTGAACTTATCATATGGATTAGTGATAACTTCTATTCCTAAATGTCTAGTGTGTGCTGATAATGGTACTATATTCCTTTCGTTCAAATAAGGGATTGTCTGGACTAGAAAACTACTCCAATAAACTCAAACTCAGAGAACTTATTGGAAAGATAAAGGAAAATCTGTTTGAAAATGAAGGCTTCTTATCTCTAAAGCCTCATGTGAAAAATAGCAGCTACTGCATTTTTCTTTCTCTGGGTCTAAGCATTTTCCTTCCTTTCCATTCCCTTCGGTTCTCTTCCGTTCCCCTCCCCTCCCTTCCTTTCCTTACCTTTCCCTTCTTTCTTCCCTCCTACCCTCCCTCTTTTCCTCTCTTTTTTCTTTCCTCCTTTTCTTTCCTTTCTTTTTTTTCTTTCTTCCTCTCTCTCTTTCTTTCTTTCTTCTCTCTCTCGTTCTCTCTCTTTCTCTTCTGTTATCAGTGCTTCTGTTTGCATGTCTACTCTGTTCCGTCATTCCTGATAACTATTTGCATAAACATGACCTGTCTTTCTCTCACAGTCCAGTGTGCTGTAGCATTGCTGTTTTGTCATCTGCTTTGATTCTAACTATGTGACCATGTTGGTCAGGTTTTTGCATTTTATTTAACTTAGGTCTTCCAGTGTTTTAATGTGCTAATATCTCAGAAAAAGCATCTGATAGGTCCAACATCACATATACTGTTTGATTTGTGAACCAAATGCCTATGGCTGAGAGGGCAACATTAGGCTGAGGCCTACCTCATCAGCAAGGTCTGTGGATGGGGTTCTGTGTTCTCTGAAAATACTGATTAGCGTATTTAGGATAATATCTTTAATTCTTCCAACAATACCACAAGGCCAGTATTATCCCTATTATGTAAATGAGGAAACTGAGGTTTGGAAAGCTTAGATAACTTACCCGAAGTCACATATATAGTAAATGTTAGTGCTAGTATATTTGTGTCATGAGATAATTCATGTAGATAGATGAGCAATACACAAATAATGCAGTTCATTTTAATTTTTAGAAGGAGAATATTGTTTAAAACATCTCCAAACAAGCCATACAAAATTTTAATTTATTCCTTTGGCTCATAGATTAAAGTGAACAATAAACACTGAAAAAATACTATACTAGAACTGAGAGGCTGATTTAATAGTATAGGTAAGGCAGTAGATGTTGCACATTGCATAAAGTCACCACATTGAAAGAGGAACTATTCATAGCATAGACAGTGTAGATTTTTTTGTGTGTTTATGATAATACTCTCTTGGTCGATAGTGAAAGATCTTGTTTCTAACAAAAGTACATATTATGACAATTTTCCAGTAGACAGAAGTTGTTGTGGTTGGCCCCATTATCTGAGGAAAAGGATGCTAAGTAGTTGGTGTGTTTATTTCTAGGTAACTCTAGCAGTCAGCCAGCCTGATCTTAAATTGACCCTATTTCTTATCCTTAGTAGGTTGGTTGACATAAAAATGACTGGTTATAGTACTGTTATCCAGAATCTTATTGTCTAGTGGAGAAATTGGACTGAAGGCAAAATGAAGATCGTATCACACTTGAAGCACAAAAGGCCCTGAGTAAGATGAGACAGAAGCCATCAACTGCACCTGAAAGGTGGTGGGGTTGTCACAGTGGATCAGAAGATTCAAAGGGAGAAGGAGAGGGTACTTACTCTGATGAACCAAGAGCAGAAAATGGATTGTCATTAAAAGAAATTCAACCCACAGATGTACTGAAACACGAAAGTACATGTACTTAGTCCTAAGGAAACAGTAAGGAGTGTCTATGAAACACACATCTATGGAAGACTGAAGAAAATGAGATTAGAAAAGTAGAGCAGTGCTTATAGCTGTGGCGATCTGAAGTAGCATGTAATAAATTTGTATATCATCTCTTCTTCAACCCCAGTGGGCAATGGGGAGCCATCAGTGTGGGTACTTGATGGATGATTAGCCACAAATCACTTTATCAGATATATTTATAGATGTAAAAGACATTAAAATATTAGAATATAGAACTATGTAATTACTAGGCTGATAAAATTTTAAACTCTAAAGAAAAAAAAATTCTGGGGAAGAATTAAATGGTCAAAACTGCTAAATGTAAAAGATATCCCAAATAGATTATCAACCATGAAAGAAATTGAAAGGTAACCTTTACAAACTAGTAATACTATCTCATCTAAGGCATTGTATTAAAGACAATTTTTTTACAATTCTAAATAAAAGATAATTTCCCATTGTGTTAATTAATTCAGAATTTAGGCAAAGATGTAGCACTTCTTGAGCAAACATAAACCTGATATTAAAAATATATCTGGCAACTATAGTATCAAAAATCAAACTAAAAAGCACTATAGCTACATATATAAAAAATGCAAGTGTACATCAAAATGTTATCAGGAGTTACCTCTAAAAAGTATAGGTGATTTTTATTTTCTTTGAACGTTGTTTAATGTTAAACATATATTTTGCATTTTCTAAATTTTCAATAATCATATTTCACTTAAAACTAGTAAAGAATAAATATTTGATATTAATTGCTAATATTCTATTTTAAAGAAATCATCAATGATGGCAGTCCAAGATTAATGAAGAAGGGATTTTATTTCACTTGTTTTCCTTTGGAACAAATCCGCATTTTTAAACTATAAGGAATGACAATAAATATTAACAGTGGTTATCTCTCAGTAGTGGACTAATACTTGATTTAATATAACTTGTTCTGTTTATTTGAATATGTATTCGTATATATAAGTTTTTATTTATAATCAGAAAAAAATTTTACTTCTAAAGCATTTTACCATGATGAAAACTTGGAACAAATTAGAAGTAGAATATACTTTATATATGAGTCACCCATAAAACCACAGCCACCCAGGGAGCAACTTTGGGCTGCTTTTTAAATTTTATCTTTCACCAAGAAAGAAAAGATTTATCAGTAGCTAGCAACATTGCAACACTTGCACATGTGTGTGCACGCACACGTGCGCGCGCGTGCGCATGCGCACACACACACACACACATACCATTGCTCCTCTATTCTCATTTCTGCCCTCCCCCTCTCCCTTGCCCCCTGAGTGATGCCCGAGCTTTCATCAGTTTGCATTGTCAGTTCCTCAACATTGTGTCCTAATAAAAAGCAGTGGACACTGGACACAGACAAAGCAGAGATTTGCTACTTGACCTATGTGATCCTTTGTGACATCTCATGTGACATCTTTGAACTTTAATTTCTTGATCTTTCAAATGAGAGTAATAAAACAAATACATAGAGGAATTGAAAGATTCCTCTGACATTTGACATCTTTGAACTTTAATTTCTTGATCTTTCAAATGAGAGTAATAAAACAAATACATAGAGGAATTAAAAGATTAAATGAGATCTGTTTCTAGTGCACAAAAGATGTTCAATGAATGTTAACTTTCTTCCTGATTGCTTCTCTTCAGTATTTCAATTTTTATTTCTCTTTATAAGTCTATTTATACTCCTGTTTCCTTTCTTGCAAAATACCAACTTTTTTTATTTTTCCCTTTATTCTCATCTTTAAATAATAGAGTTTGTCTATTTATTTCCCTTCAGGCCATGATGTAGAAATGCAAATGATCTTTTCTTTCGTCTTTCTAAATTCTACAGTCCACATCTGCTTTTATTTATAATTTTTCACACTTTTTTCTTTAAATGTTGTCTCTTACTTATTCATGAATTTTTAAATACTCGGCATTGTTTGTGGAAAGAGAGATATACATATTAGTAATCTTGTCTTTTATCAAATATATCTAAAATATAAGAAAATTTGAAATGTTTAATTTGTTCATGCAGAAATCATACCCACTGTGCTAATTTTCAGTAGCCTCACCTGTTCCTTTTAATGTCTTAATTTTATTTTCTCCCTTTTAAAGTCTATTATTTTATCTTTCTTAGCTTTAAATTATAAAATTGATAACATTGTTAACAGTATAAAAACGTTAAAAATATTAAGAAAAGTTACTTGTCTCAACCCAAAATGCCACTCACCTCCCTTCCTACCATAAACTAATTGTACCCATTGGAGGTAATCAGTGTTAATGGTTTCATGTCTATTTATTCCCCACCCGCCCATCAATTATTATTGCCTTCAAAAGAAAGAGTACCCTGTGTTCCTGTGTTTATTTGGCAATTTGTTCCAAAGTCCTACTGATCTTCAAAACATCCTAAGTGAATTAATGAACTAGCCTAATATTTTTGAAGATGGAAAATATTTCACAGACAAAGAAAATAAAGAAGCCAAATGTGGTTAATTAATATTTGTTTGGGAGGGCAAGCATGACAGCTCTGAGGACAGAACTTCCAGATCCAGTTTTCAGTCCTTAGTTCTTAACCCAGGTTCTGTTCAGTTAAAACAAAGACCTTGTCACGATCGGATCTGCATTTAAAATAACATTTTCAAACATTTTCCTTATAGAAAGGTTGTTTCTATTATCATTGATATTGCAAAAATTGAAATTTGGCTGAGGTTTCCATTGGTGTACCAGACTCCAGTTTCATATTATTCCAGTTGCTTCTTAATCACCAGTTCCTTAAACTCTGACTCTGCTCCACCGCTAGTCTCCAACCTCTGTTACCCCAGACCCTAGAATCACAATTGACCCTCATAAATACAGTCCTCTCTCTCCTAAGGCTCACATACAACTTGTTCTAAGTTTATAGGTATGATGAGGCTTAATATATTCTTTCTTCCAAAGTACTGCATTTTACAGATAGCAAAGGCTGAACAAGATGGAGTGTATCACTACTTGTAGAAATAAGACCTCCATATTGAGG